AGCTGGCAGCCAGCTTCCCGCGAATTTACGGCGTGACTTTAAATCACATAACATCGCGGCGGGAGAGTCACCCAAGCACTGGCCAGGCACGGTGCCTGCTTTACTTATATAGAGCCAGCTGGCAGCCAATATCCCTTGAAGCCATTTTGTGACTTCTAAAACACATCACATCAAGCAGCGAGAGTCACCTACATAGGTAGTGGGAGACACCGGTGCCTTCTCAAAAAAGCGTAGACTGGAAGAATAGGATCTCGAATTTTCGGAAAGTCTTTTACTGTTCTATACTGTAGTGACGGTGCAAAGTCTTTTAAGTTTATGCGTTAAAAAAAACCCAAAATAAAAATGGAAAGTATAGAATAGAAAGAACGGAGTTGAAAATTCAAAAATCTCTAAATCCCCAAAAGCGGATCTAATCAAGTGCGCTTTACATAACCATGACAATAAACGAATTATGTAAATTAATATTTACCGTTAATTTAGGCTTTGTTGGCTGCGCACTGCCATCCTGCAGCTGCTTTACATCTTTGGTGCGTATTAGTTTTGGTATTAGAGTTGTTGTTGTGACTCCGGGCGGTAAAGGAATCTTAAATTTGATCTGCAAATAAACGCAAAAAGCTTTAAAATGTGGAATAAACGCGTATTAGAATAAAAAATTTAATTATGAAAAAAAGTCAACTTAAACGGTCGGTACGGCGGTGCGTATGATCAACGGAAACAACCGGGAAAAAAATGAAGCTTAGAAATTAAAAAGTTATTAACTATCAAGGACACTTCAAGTCATTTGCCATTTAAGCATCATTAGCAGAAGCCTACGCAAACACACACACACGCACCCGCACAAAAGCAAGCACTTTGCACTTCTATTAACACTTTAGTCAATTGGCCCACTTGTTGTCAGCGTTTGCACACACAAGTATATTTATAGTTATGCGTCCATTGTCTGATGGAATTGAGAAAAAATGTAGATTTACAACAATAACAGCAAAAGCAGCAAAAAACGTATACTATATAAATACACCCTACACAATTATAAAAATTTCCATACAAGAACTTGGTTTTGATCTAAAAGTATATCCTATAGTGGTTCGATAACGGTAGTCCCGACAAATGCGCAGCTTCTTGGGGAGAAAAAGATGGCTGCAAAATTTCAAAGTCTCAAAAACTGAGGGACTACTTCGCGTATGTACAGACGGACAGCCGTTTAGACAAACGACCATCGATTCAGTTCCTCACCCTGATTGTTTATATACTCGTATATACATCTATGTGTTACAAAATTCATAGCACATTCGTGGGTATATTCTGTTATAGGGCATACATATAAATATGTATGTATGTAAGTCTCTAAAGTCTAAAGTAAAGGCGAACACTTTTGCATACATATCTACATGTTTATTTAAATGTGTGCATCACACACACGCGTCCGAGCGCGTGCGGCACTTTAATCGATATTTGCAACAAGTACCACTCAACATAAATGGTGTTGCTGCTGCCAGCGCGAACACTGTCTGTGCCGCTACTGCTAAATGCTAGCGCCTCCTGCCTAGCCCGCTGCAACCACATACGAGTATGTTGTTGTAAATTTTTCCTCGGTTGCGTGTTTATGTCCTTTTGTGGAAAATGTCAGGGTTAGCTCAGCGCTGAATAGCTTTTCTCCGTACTGCCTGCTTACAGCTGTTGAGCCAAGTAAATCCTATGCATATTCTTGTTAGCGATAATTAGAACGCGAATCAAGATTCTCGCACGAGTATTACAGATTTTTAAAATGTAGCTAATTAATTGGAATATGATGTAAATAAAGCTGTTGGAGCATTATTGAGGGCGATTCCTGAATTATTTTCTTTGGCCATGATGTATGAGTATGCGGCCATTTCATTTGCAGTGCGCTTGTTGCAATATCGTAGAGTAATTGTACTTTGCATATTTTCTAAAGTTTCGAAAGCGATTGAGTGCTGAGCGACTTAATTTATTTAAGGTTAGATTTTTGTTTGTGGTAAATTCTTCGAGTTACCAAAAATCGTATTCGTTTTTCAATCAATGTTGTCTTCGGAAGAGCTTTTAGTTTAAACGTTTAATTTTACGATTTTGCAAAGAAATTTTAACTTGAATATTTTCGGAGCCATGCTCCATTGTGTCATCTGTGAGAAATTCTTCAATTGGAAATCCGCACATCAGAATAAAATATACATATGTGTTGTACAGAATTTGTCTGGAAAGTAATTGGACTGACTTTCTTCGGTCGCGGCTGTACTTCGGCGCTTGCGCGTCTTGACTGGATTCGGTAGAGGTCGTTCTTAGCTAACAAACGAGCGTCAGCCCAGACTTTTCAGTCCCCGGACTTTTTTGTTTCCTGTTTTTGTCGATGAAAGGAAATCCAAGCAGCATGTACCTCGGCTCTCAAAGCTATTCCGGAATAATTTGACGCCATCAATGCTTGGGGATCGGGCTGGCAGCGCTGCATCGACGCCGAAGGGGCCTATTGTGAAAATTTTTAAAGAATTGTAAGAATTGGTTCAATTCATTTTTTTAAATCGACTCATTCCTATTACTTTCCGGACAAAGCCTGTATATATCATGAAATATTTCAAGTTCTGTAACATTTTTTGGCTTTTGATAATACTTCCACTCCACTTCAAGGTAATAACAGCTGTCCGGAACAGGTTCGAACTTGGTTTCGTACAGTTTTTATACTCTTACGAAAGATTTTTATTAAAAACGGTACTGAGGAAACGTTTGTTTTGTGATAATCGGGTCTCTTGCGCTCCGTATCTCTTGCTTTCTGACGCTGGTAGCTACCAAAATTTTATAGTTCGTACAGTTGTTGTGTTCTGATGAAAGACTTTAAGAAATGTACGGAAGAGACTTTCGTTATACGACAATCGGATCAACATAAACGGAACGGGCCCGATTCATTATCCGAACAAGAATAGTGAACTCAGCAGCATTACTTTTAAATTAGTTGTCGTATATTTACTGTCACTACAACAGCAACAACAGACTCTCAACTTTTTAGCCGAAATGACAGCAAATTAAAGGATTATAGTCGTTTGGATTGATGTTGTTTTCACTTGAAAACGACGAGTTTCAAAAAAAATTTATATAGCTAGTCATAATAGTATAGGTCGCTTTAAACACCCCTATAACTGAAACCCTGTCAAATCGTACCCTGTCCTGGACCTGCACAGCCAAGATAATCATCATATCAGCAACTAAAAGGATTCTATATATATAAAATGCGGTGATTTCTCTGATCTTAAATTAATCTGTAAAGTGACTATCTGCTTTGAAGCTTTTGTGCCATTTGTTTGTGCCGTTATTTCAATTTTTCGTTTTCACTGCTGTTGTTGACTTGGTTTTTAAATAACATGAATAGGAAGAAAATTTGAAGGGGGGTGTAAGGGGGTTGCAAAAATAGCCGCAGACGCAGGAAAAGCAATATAGAATAATATAAATGGAAAATAATAATAAATCACACACACATTTACACACATATAAAGCGCACACTAATACACTTTATGAGTGAAGGTTTTGAAAAATATTAAGAGAATTTAAAGCTATTGTTGCTGTAGCTGTATGAGCCAGCCAAGCGACGCTTTGCCAATCAGCCTACACCAGCGACACCAGCTACACAGCAACAACCACAATTGATGGCGCTTATCTTCTGCTTCGTTGGCTACGCGCTCGTTTGGACCAGCTGTTCGTTAGGACGGTCGATTGGACATTTGTTGCTGCCAGTGTTGCCAAAGACATTTAGACGGTTGGTTGTTGATGCGGCTTTAAATCTGCAGGTTTATTTATATACATATGTATGTATGTATACTGAGGTATATAGTACCTAAACCACAACGAAACGTCGGTACTAAAGTTTCGGGATTCGCTTATTATTCGAATTTCGAATATACTAACCATTATTAACCATTAGCCTCGAAATCCTCAAACTCTTTACTAGAAGTTCGCCAAAGCTTCTCCTACCGCTTGCAATATGTATCAGGAGTAGATTCTACCAGTGGCTTATATCTTTCTAGTCATAAACGGTTGTTGGTTTTTTTGGTTATGAGTCAGTCATAACTCAAAATTTAACGCATAGAAATCATATGCGATGGTATTTTAAAAAATCCCGAAATGTCGGACTTGACTTTCTCAAAATCTTATATAACTCACGTTGAAAGATATTCTCAAAAATCCCAAGATTTCGGGATTGACCTTTTTCAAAATCTCGAAATTTAAACAATTTTGTGCACTTTATAGGTCAGTCACGTTGAAAGATATTCTCAAAAATCCCAAGATTTTGGGATTGACCTTTTTCAAACCCTGAAAATTTCGGGATTCACAAACTAATCCCGTAAATATTAGTTATACTATATTGTCGTTTGGACATTTGCTGGCTCATTTGGTGGTACGCTTGACCGGAAACGCATCACCGCCACATTTTTTTAGTCCACTTTTTAAGTCAACGGATATAGCCGTCATATCCGTTGCACCCCCATAGCATCATACATATCGACATATGTACGTACTTCGCATCCTGCCAATGTTATGCCTGTAAGCTCTTGGCCAGTACGCGGAAGTAAAAGGATAAACTGTTTTGATATTCAGCATCGCAGCATCCTAAATTTCCAAGCTCCCGGGTCATTTCAAATTTACCGTGCAGCATTGTCTGCGTTTGCCTTGCATGTCCTTCGTGAGTGTTTTTTTCTATAGTTTTGCTGTATTGAGTGTAAATTGCAGAACAACTGATATATGTATGTACATAAGTATGTATGTATGTGTAAGAGTAGAGCAGTATAAAGGGCCTATGATTTTTTTAAATTTTTTTTTTTTTTTTTTGACATTTCTCTTTCATCTTTTTCGTCCTTATCAACTCAAAGGGATGTAAAATAAATTAGGTTTTTGTAATTACAATGCGACAGCACTTAATTGAGTTCTTATCAATTGCATCGCATCGCAGCGGAAATCAAGCTTCCAAAGTGCAATAAAAGCGAGGGGGAGCGACAGAGAGTTGCCAAATACAAAAAAGTTAAACTAATCATAAAAGCAACAGATAATAGACCTCGATGTGCAAGATGTTAACCAGAAATAAGTAAAAAATTGAAATGAAATAAAGTTCATGGGCGCATTTGGGGCCATTATGCAAGCTGTCGCCATTTGCAACAGAGATTAGAAGGTCAACGGGGGCATACAAGCACCACCACACACAAAACTCAGTCATTTGAATTATACATGAGGATGTATGCACTTGTGGGCTGTTTACTGTAGCCCACAGTCCACACATACACACATATATACATGAATTTGTGTAACGAAATGATGTCCTTCAATGTCTCGAGTGGATCATTCGCTTTTGTTTCGTTTCATTCGATGTGAGATTTCAGCTGGTAAATGCTTAATATGCCCTTACGTCTGAAGTGCCTTTACTTAATTAAACGTCGCTTTTACTGCAGAGATTTCGTATTGTTTTAATCGACTAGAAATCGTTTTAATTAGATTATGCTCACACAATTGCTGTGGAAATTAGTTATGTAAAAAAATACATTATATGCATATAAGTATGTTCAAAATCTCAGTTTCGGACGGCACGCTCGGGAGCTCTTAAGA